GACGAAATCCCCTACGACCAGATTGAGTGGGGGTTAGAGGAGGACAGCGGTATGGGCCAGGGGAGATCTTATGCTGCTGTCGCGGCTGGAGGGAGGCCGCAAGGAAGAGGCCAGGGCCAAGGGGGCCGGGCCTCAGGGGGCCGGTTCCAGGGCGATCAGGGGGTTGGCGGCAGAGGAGGAAACCGCCAAGTGGGAGGCAGGGGTCAAGGTCCCCCGCAAAACCGCCCTAGGAACAGGTCTCCCTATAGGATAGGAGGATGGCATCCAGGGCTACCGCAAGGTAGGCCTTGGGAATCGTTGGGTCTGGACCAAGCTTTATGGCAACAACGATTGGACCGGGGCCAGAGTGTTGACTGGATTGTCGAGTACCAACGCTTGACATCCGTCCCAAACATTCAAATGGGCTTCAAGCAAACACTACTTCATCTCGAGGTCGTGTCCGGCGTTGGGCAACGCCTTGACTCACGTCGAGGACACCCTGACTACAACGGCGGAGCTCTTCGACAAGGCCGCGCACATTATTGTCACGAACAAGGAGGCTAAGAACCTCAACCGTTCGTCTGCGACAAGCCCGAGCAGAGATCAACATCGACCGAAAGTGGCCGTGGTCGTGGCGACAATGCCAAACGACCAATCTAGCGAGGCCGTGTTTGCCAATGAAGGGGACAGACTCGCAGCCGCCCGGTATGGTGGCCGCCCCGACAAAGGCCGAGGACGAGGCAAGACGAAGACAAACACCACATCTATCCCCGGGCCCGGCGCAGCAACTCCAGCCCCATGGTCCCACTACGGTCTCTCCGAACATGCGTACAAGCTACACACGAGATTCCGCTATTGTCTGTGGTGTAACAGCGATCTCCACGACACAGTGGGCTGCCCGTCGAAAGGCAAGGGAAAATCGAAAAACTGAGCACCGCCGGGAGTGGGTGATATACATATAGCCAAGGATCCGCAATGCGCAGCATTATGCGCTCATCTTCACATGTACTTATCCTTCTATGCACCACCAACTTCGCCGACGGATGACGAAGTCACGGTGGGGGGCATCCTTGCGTATGTTACCAAGGTGGCCCGTGAGTTTCGCAAGCAGCAGTACGATGACAACAACACACCACTCCTCTATGTCCGCATCCAAGTTGGGCAAGTGTCCTGCAGCGCTTTGCTGGATAGCGGCGCGTCTCACAATTTCATGAGCCAAACCTTTATGCAAAGGGCTGGCCTTGGCGCACAAGTTCGGGAGAAGGCAAACTCGACGGCGTTCAAGTTGGCGGACGGAAGGACGCAACAACTTATCGACCGCTACATCGAGGCCGTACCGGTGTATTCTGCACCTCGTGCATGCGAACCGGTGACGTTCGACATTTTGGACGCGGACTTCAACATTATTTTAGGAATGCCTTGGCTTGCAAATGCGGATCACACGGTCAACTTCCACCGGCGGACTCTTACCGTTCGGAATGCCTTCGGCGCCGAAGTGTCGTGTACGATTCCTCTTCCACACCCTTCGATTTGGTGCCAAGTGGTGGCAGCCAAGTCGTTCCGAGCTACTTGCGCTTACAAGCAGCCCGGCGAGATAAGCCTATGCTTCGTACGGATCGTCGCGGTAGCCGATTCTTCACCCACGGACTTGTCTTCGGACCCCCGTGTGGTGTGGTTGCTTGACAAGTTTGCTGACATCTTCGAGTCACCTACCGGTGTGGTGCCGGATCGGCCGATCTCTCACGAGATCATTCTTGAGGCTGGTGTCGTGCCGTCAAAAGGTTGCATTTACCGCATGAGCGAGGAGCTTACGGTCCTCCGCACACAACTCGATGACTTGTTGGACAAGGGCGGATAGGGCTGGATCTACCCTCGTAACTCCCCATATGGAGCACCAGTTCTCTTCATACGGAAGAAGAACAAGGATCTACGATTGTGCATCGACTACCTCAAGCTCTACGCGCAAACCGTCAAGAATGCCGGCCCTCTTTCTCGTATCGACGATCTTCTTGAGCGTTTGGGTGGCGCAAAGTACTTTTCTAAGTTGGATTTGAAGTCGGGATATCATCAGATTTCGATCCAGCCGAACGATCGCTATAAATCCGCGTTCAAAACGCGGTATGGGCATTTTGAGTCGATGGTCATGCCTTTTGGCCTCACCAACACCCCGACGACCTTTCAAGCGGCAATGACCAACGAGTTCCGTGCGATGTTAGACTGGTTCGTGCTGGTCTACTTGGACAACATTCTCGTCTATAGCCAGATATTGGAGGATCATTTTGAGCACCTTCGACGAGTGTTGGAGACGCTCCGCCACGCCAAGTACAAAGCCAACCGCGACAAGTGCGAATTTGTCCGGCAAGAGCTGGAATACTTGGGCCATTTAGTCACACCGGAGGGCATCAGTTCGTTGTCGGACAAGATTCAAGGCATCCAAGAGTGGCCGGAGCCGCGGAACATCACCGATGTCCGTTCGTTCCTTGGGCTTGCCGGCTACTACCAACGTTTTATCAAGGGATGCTCGAAGATCGCGACCCACTTGACCAAGCTTCAATGCGAGGATTGGCCGTTTGACTTCGAAGAGGATGCTCTTTCACGGCGTCCAGATCATTGTACCGTAGTCTATTCGACCTTGTTCGAAGGTCATCAATTTGTCCATTGCCTTGATCTCCGACGGCTCTACTTGGAACCGCTTATGCCACACCGCCTTTAGATCATCCCTGTTGATCTTGGTGTACAAGTCGACAGCTACCACCTCGTACTTGGACAAGAGATTGTCCAACCATGGTTGGCACGCGCCCCCTCGACCGGGAGTATAAGTACGCATGATGCTTGTGCTCGCTGACGTAGTGTAGCTGCAACTTGAGCTCGAACTTGCAGAACCACGGAATCAGGTTCGTCTTCGTCGAATCGCAGAAGATTTCCTGATCATCGAACCTTGGAGTCGTTTCGCACGGTGCCGAACTCGGGTTGGCGGCGGCCTCTGCCTTCTTCTTCTCTACAGCCACTACCTCATCCGCCCATTTCTTGGCTTCGGTAAACAAAGCCGTCATCGGGGCTTGATAGGCCTCGACCGCTTCCCCGGACTTTTGATCCATGTCGTCTGTTTGTAAGCACGTGAGCATCGACCAGGCCGGACTACTGACGTGGCACTCCCTGCTGCTGACGTGGCACTGCTGACGCGGTCTGCTGACGTGGTGTTACATGCCCAGTTGGGCTATGTACATAATAAACCGAGGATCCGAAATGTGATAAAAAGGACTGAATGGACAATGCAGTGCAAGTCAAATCTCAACAAGCAGTGTACATTCTGATACATACAAGTCCTGACCTGACTGGGACTGACCTCTATCACGTAGTGCAAGGCATCGCAGCAGAATGCTAGAATACCAATGACTAGCCCAATCAATGTTGCAACACAGACCAAACATACATCATCCTCGTCACAAAGTGTGAAGGGGCCTGGCGCTACACACAGGAAGAATGCAAGAGGTCCAAATCATGCACAGACGAAGAGGAGGGGAACAAACGAAGAAGAGGGGGAGAGATGGGAATGTCATCAACACCAACTCTTTGTTACAAGTCCCAAATAATCCCTTGTCAAAATGTCTGAAGCCCAATATCGAGTCTGGATCCAAATGTCACCAAGCCCGCTCTCTCATCTTCTGCTGATGCAGTGAAGTCAGGTAGCGAGAGGGTGAGAGGGAGATGGTGGACTGAGATGAGGAAGAAGAAGAACTCTCTCTCTCTAATATGCCAGGTACTAACCTGTGAAGATGGCACTGTGCTGCAAGTACCTCGCAAGCGAAGCTGGAGCTATGGCGTTGCAGGTAAGTATCCCTGGCCTCCGCCCAATCTCTCTCTCTCTCTCTAGTACTACTCTAGCTCCTAAGAGCGCCCAACGCTGAAGACTACTGCTAACGCTACTAGCACTCAGCGTTGAAGACTACTGTTAGCGCTACTACTACTCTTGCAGTGCTCCTCCAGAGTGCTGTTGCCGAATCATGAAGACTACCCCTTGCCTCCTGAACTGCATGTGAAGTGCCTGGGAAGTACCTAGGAACCACCTGCCAGCCTGCAGGGCGGGCCAGTCCTATATAGTGCTGGCCCATCCATGGGGCTGCTCTTGACAATGCCGAAACGTGCCAGACCCTGGCGTTGAAGCTCAACCAGGGGTTGTCTTGAAAACAGCCCCGAAATGGCCTGTGCTAAAACCCTGGTTTGTTGCCTGAGTTTCAGGGCGGGTCGAACTGATGAGGGCCTGAAAATGGCCCTCGGTTTCACCCAGGAGTAGAGAGTTTGCGCTGCAGCATGAGAGGGAAATAGCAAGAGTCACTGAGAATGTGAGGAAAGTGCACCACAAAGTGATAGACCAGGCTAATAAGCACCGTCGCCCATCACTGTTCCAGGTAGGTGATTTAGTCTGGGTCAAGTCTAGGGAGTTCGCCCCAGAAGAGAACATCTCACAAAAGTTGTTACCCTCGTACAGAGGACCTAGCCTGTCCTAATAGGAAAAGGCGGAGAGGCAGGACCATCCGATACGATTGAGAAACCAGCACACCTCCACACATACCCAGTCTTCCACGCATCAAAGTTGTTGCCTTGCATAACTAGTCTGCAATTCCCATTGCATCGACCAATGATTCCACCGGACATGGATGCCGCATATGATATAGACCGCATTCTGAAAGAGGATGTGTTCAGGACCGGAGTCAGGGGTCGCGCCCAAAAATAGTACAAAGTCAGGTTCACTTATCAGGAACCTGAGGACGACCGCTGGTTCACAAGAACAAAGCTTTTAGAGACCGCTCGCGACATAGTGCACACTTATCACCGGGAAAGGAAAGGTAAAGGTCCTGCCTCTCATTGAAGTATTCTTGGAGGACTTTGAATTTAGGCCGGCGGGAGTGAAACGGATTCCACCTTTACGGTAGCGGATGCAGTTCCTAGGGCTCCATCCCTAGACCTCGCCCTCACCCATGTACAATATTAGTTGACCTATGTGAGCTTGAACCCACGACCTGTGTCTTGAAAGTCGCCTGTTGGTTTGCTGTAGTGTGGTAGTCGGGTCTTGAACTGCAGGCCTATAGATTAGAGGTCTTAGCAGTGTAGGAGTCGTAGCTGCTATAGTGTTGAACGGTCAAGTCGTAGCTGCTACAGTACCGAAGGGTCAAGTCCACAGTCTTTCGGAAGATTTGGAACCGGCCCTTCGTGAGTCTAAGATGCAGTCCGTAGGCAAGGGGGCAAGTGGGCAGACTAACCCAGCCCAGTCAGCGGTACCCAGTCCCGGTCGCAGCTTGTTAAGTCAGCAAGTACCATGTGGGACTCTGTGCACCCCGAGCCCAGGGTCGAAGGGCAGACCTTTGACAATCTGAAGTATAAATCAAGAGGCAGCGTCAAGTCATGCATTTTTTTTGCCTGTGAGCTATGAGGAAGCACTGCCGAAGTGTCTTGTGTACGGAGGTCTGCAGGTGGTGCCCGGTGGAGAAGAGGGGTAAGAGGAGGAAGTCCGCCATAGCCGAGCTTGTTAGTAGGGAGGAGGACGACGACGGCCATAGCCGCCACATTAGAGAGTGAGTAGGTGTTAGTGTGTGTATGAGTGAGTGTTAGTGTGTGTACGAGTGAGTGTTAGTGTGTGTGTGTGTGAGTGTGCGGGACATCCAGGGAGATCCAGGGTGTGTACGAACGAGTTGCTCGAGGCACAACATTCGGCCATGGTAGAGCGAGACAGGTTTGAATTTGAGTTGTGTTTGTGGCTTCGTTACCTTTGAGCTTTGTGTGGGCGCGAGTCGCTAGCTTGATCGTCATCTGTTCGTATACATGATGAAGTTCGAAGTCGACAAGTCTGATTGCATTGGTATCGGAGCTGGTTCCCGCTTTCTCGCCCGTCTTCGTCATCATCATCGCCCGACGCCAAGGAGAGGAGAGCAACTCGTTAGCAGCGTCGCTACTGTTGGAGAGGAGGAGCAAGGGGAGGCACCTGTTGTGCGCCACGTCAGCGCCGTTGCCGTCGGGTGTAGGAGAGAGAGAGGGGGCGTCCCCTTGTCACTCGCTGCCCCGCCACTATTGTGCGCCAGGATTGCGCGTTGCCAGCACTTGTGAAGAGGAAGGAGACTATGATAGCGAAGAGAGAGAGAGAGAGAGAGAGAGAGAGAGAGAGAGAGAGAGAGAGAGAGAGAGAGAGAGAGAGAGAGAGAGAGAGAGAGAAAAGTTGACTGATAGAAGATTGGTTGTCCAGCCCCGCGGAACGAGGGAAGTGGCGGCCATAGTCGTCAAGCTCGGACCTTGCGAGAGAGAAGGGGACCGGGAGTGACAAGGTGTGACGAAGGTAGAAGAAGGAAGACACCATAGCCAAGCTGGGTGAGGAAGAAGGAGAACTAGGGGAAGGGAGAGAGAGGTTGGCGAAGGAGAAGGGTCGGTAGCCATAGCTGAAGGTCGGAGCTTGATCGGGAAGGTTGACCGGGAGGTTTGAAGAAGTTGACTGGCCGTTGACCAGCGTTGACCGGAGGCCGTTGACCAAGATTTGACCAAGGGGGAGTTTGTATAATCTCGCCAAGCCGTTAGCCTACCCCCTCGCCCGATGGATGTGCACTCACCCCTTGGTACTTGCTGAGCTTGTGCGTCTCTTCTTTCTGCATTCAGTCACTCATGTCCAAGTGATAGGACTCTCTACATGTGGTCCGTAGAGCTGCGTTGATCAAACCTGCACGGGCTGAGTAGGGCTTAAGTCCATGTCTGACGAGTGACACGTCCCGGAGGCCTAACCCTCCCAAGGACCGGTATAGACCGACGGGCTACTCAATGTAGCATTGTAGGCCCAAAATCTGAGCTGTAGGCTATACAACCAGTTGTCTAAGTGTTGAGAGGACTCGCTGATCACGTCGTCCTGACTGCGATGTTAAACAATTCTTGAGGAGTTACGAGGGATCTCCTTAAATGCCCCCTGATCGTTAGTAGAGTCCTGTAGTGACAGCCTTAGAGGTAGGTCCGGCTAGAGACCCTAGTTGACAGTGTCTGATCCAGAGAGAAAGCCAGGTGGGATTGGTCGTTGGTGCATGGTGCACTGGGATCTGGTAAGTTACGGTGACAGTGGTGGCGAAAGCTTCCCTTGGTTGTGGTAACCTGGCTGGATCAAAGGAGAAGATTGTGCAGTCCTTAGAGAGTAAATCAGTCAGTTAGTCTGTGAAGTTTACGTGGTGAGGAGCGGAACTGTTACTTGTTGTGCACCAGACACCATGGACGACCACCCTATGTCGGGTTCTCCTTGTGGGGGACCCTCTAGCGTCTCCCATTTCCCTTAGGCTTCTGGCGCACGCTTTCGTGTAGAGTCATGACGAGGGGTGGTATAGTGACCACTCCTTGTACAAAGGAGCAGGAAGCGGAGGCCTCAAAGATACTAGCAGAGCATAAGGCAAGGAAGGAGGCGGAGGAGTTCGAAAAGACAGCGAAGAAGGTGGCTCTCTTGGCAAAGAAGGTCATGAAAGAGGAGTTGGAAGAGGAATTGAAGCGGCTGCAGAAAGAAAAGGAAGAAGTTGCAGCATTAGTAGACGAGGAAGAAGACGTGGAGATTACCCTACAGAGAAATGTAAAAACTAAGGAGAGAGGGGAATGCAGGGGTGCGCAAGAGAGAGATGCGAAGATGGAGAGGATGGTGTCCGAGTGGGTGGCAAACTTGGCCTTGGGGGAAGAAGAGGAAGCCATGCTGCTTGTTCCCCAGACAGAAAGGGAAGAAGCGGATCGGAAATTACGAGAGGAGGCGGACCCCTAGCGCCGACAGGCCAAGGAGGACGAGCAATTGCTGGAGTGGAAGTTACGCCTCACAAGAGAGAGGACAAGAAGGTTGGAGGCGGCAAAAAAAATGGAGGGAGAATTGAGGGCAGTCGAAGAGCAACAAGGGCAACTAGGACCCCAGGTAGAATTGCAAACAAGGGTAGAGGTCCTGTCCCAAAAAGTGGAGATAATGTTGAGGGCCCAACAAGAGCAGTTGCGCTATTTGAGAGGTCGCCATTGCACTGCAGTCCATATGCTTGGGATTCAAAGACTTTGCAAGAGAGCCGATGACGCATGTGGGCACAAAGATGCAGGCCGCTTTAGCAAACACAAAGAGATTGTGTAGGCGCCATGCTAGCCGCCCCCAGAGAGGAGGGGGAAGCCAACATTAACTCATACTTGGACTTATAGAATATCGCCGTTGAGAACTAGGTCCTAGTGGATTTCCACTTACTAAAGCATGAAGCGGCCAGCTTTGCTACGTCGCTCGCATGCGCAGCCAAGTGCGACAATGATATGGTCGTGTACGCCGCTATCACTCGTTTGAGTGAATTTCTGACACCCCTCCACGAACGATTTGCAGATGTCACCAGGGGCCTTAAGGCCTCTGACAAACTGCAAACAATCCACTCACGCCAGTGGAAGAGTGCAAGAGGACTCAAAGCCACCATGGACAAGTTGGTCGTTGTCCCTGGACATGGGGTTGCTGAGCCCCAACTGGTCCAATTATTCTTCCACGCCATGCCCGAAGCTTTGCACGGGGAACTTCTTCAACAAAAAGCAACAACCCGATATGACTTATGATACGCTCAGCGGCGACGTTGTTTTGGAGGCGCAATCCATGCCAGTGTCCACTTTCTGGCACAAGGACCTCGACGAAGGGAAAAAGTGGAAGGGCTGTACCATCTCAGGCCGAGTCCGGGCCAACGACCATCTTATCCTTACAGTGGATGAATGTGGTATGGACGAGGTCCCTTATAGTGAGATTGAGTGGGGTGTCGACGAGGAGGACAGTAGCATAGGCTAGGGGAGTACTTATGCTGCTGTCACGGTGAAGGGAGGTTGCAAGGAAGAGGTAGAGGTCGGGGCCAGGCCTCTGGTGGTCGAGGACAGGGCGGCCAGGGGGTTGGTGGGCGAGGAAACCGCCAAGACGGAGGAAGGGGTCGAGGTCCCCTGCACAACCATCCTCGTACTAATCGATCACCTCCCAGGAGGGGAGAATGGCACCTGGTCAGCCTCAGGGCAGACCTTGGGAATCGTTGGGCATAGAACAAACAGTCTGGCAGAGGAGGATAGATGCAGGTCAGTGCATCTATTGCGGTGACCTTGGGCACATTATCAAATACTGCCTAAAATATAGGGATGCCCGACGAGCTGCTGCAGAGTCAACAAAAGGCAACCGTCGGTAGGGGTAGCAACTGCCCTTACCCCTAGACCATGTGGAGATGAGTGCGCGTGCCAAATAAAAACTCCCAATCCACATGTGTCTATGGCAGAGGTTGCTGGCCAGGGCCTAGTTAGTTGTCCAGAGACTGCTTGTGTTAGGGTTTCTTTAGGCGCTTCCCTCACAGGACTGGCAGACGAGCTGAAGGAGAGGATGCGAACCTGGGCTAAGATGAAGAAAGATGGGAAAGGGCAGCTAGTATTAGTAGAAGTATTCAGAGATAGGGTAGGGGCACGTATAGACAGTGGGGCCACCCATAACTATATTAGCCGAAAGGCGCCGAAGAAGCTGAAGCTGAATTTTAAAGTCCAAAAGCTAGATGAACCCATAATCAGTATCCTCGTAGGCAATCGCACAATGCGAATCGAGGATTACGTCGAGGGAGTCTAGGCGTACTTTCATCTAGAGAATAATGGGAAAGTTGAGAGAGTTCTCCATACCCTGACTCTTCTCGTTGAGGACAATCTCCCAATTGACATGGTCCTAGGGATGGACTGGGGAGAGGCAGCAGGGGCCACACTACGTCTACGAGAGCATGAGTGTAGGCTTCCTAGTCCCTTGGGTGGTGTTAAGACTGCCCGCCTGTTCCATGTGCCAGGAGTAGAAAACCCTCTGGCACATTGTTGTCACAGTGCTCCCGCGTTCGCACGATTAGTGAAGGAGGAGCGATTAGAAGAACGGGTCTTTGTGGCCTATGTTAGGCCAGTCACCGAGCCTAAGAAAGAGGAACCCACCAACCCACTTATTGCCAAGTTGTTGGAAGAGCACGCAGATCTGCTAGAGTCTCCTTCAAACGTAGTTGCACGTTCTATCCAACACCGCATTGAGATAGAGCCTAGCAGTAGGGCTCCAAAAGGAGCAGTGTATATGATGTCTCCCGAAGAGTTGGAGGATCTGCGCAAGCAGATGGACGAGCTCCTCAGGAAGGGGTGGATTAGGCCTAGTTCGTCTCCGTTTGGAGCACCTGTTCTTTTTGTCCCCAAGAAAGAGGGAGAGTTTATATTGTGCATTGACTATAGGGGTCTCAACGTCGTTATAGTGAAGAATGCAGAACCACTGCCCCGTATGGATGATCTGTGAAACTGGTGCAAGGTTGCAAATACTTCTCCAAGATAGATTTGAAGTCAGGGTACCATCAGATAGAAGTTCACGTTGATGGTCAATACAAAACGGCTTTTAGGACTAGGTACGGGCATTATGAGTTTATAGTGATGCCCTTTGGACTAACCAACGCTACGGCCACATTCCAACGTTGTATGAATGATTTGTTCAAGCCATGGTTAGATAGATTTGTAGTTGTCTTCTGAGATGATGTTTTGATTTTTAGTAAGACCCTCCAGGAGCACGAGGAGCACGAGGCTCATCTGAGGCAGATATTGGAAAAGTTGCGTGAAGCAAACTTCAAGATCAACACGAAGAAGTGCAAGTGGGCCAAGACTGAGATTTTGTACTTGGGCCACGTATTAGATGGAGATGGCATAAAGCCTGAGAACAGTAAGATCGCAGCAATCAGAGACTGACCAACCCCGCGTGCCCTCACAAAATTGAGGTCAATTTGAGGATTGGCTAATTATTATAGGAAGTTTGTAAGGAACTTCTCTGCAATCGTTGCGCCCCTTCGCAGACTGCTAAAGAAAGAGGCAATCTCGAAGTGGGACCAAGACTGTACATTGACCCGAAAGAAGTTAAAGTGGGCCTTGATAGAGTACCTAGTCCTCAATGTAGCTGACCCATCTTTTCCCTTTGTTGTTACCACGGATGCAAGCCAATATGGCATTGGTGTTGTCTTACATCAAGATGGTGGCAATGGGTACAGACCCATAGAGTTCATGTCCGCCATATTTCCTTCAGAGAAGGTAGTGACATCCACCTATGAGAGGGAACTCTACGCTCTCAAGCAAGCATTAGACCACTGGAGACATTACTTGCTTGGGAGGCAGTTCAACGTTTATTTAGAGCGCGAGACATTGAGGTGGCTGAAGACGCAGGCCAAGATGACACCTAAGCTTATTAGGTGGGCCACATAGATGATCAGTTTGACTTCGAGCTCAAGCCAGTCAATGGGAAGTATAATGTGGTTGCAAACGCCCTTAGTAGAAGAGCCGACTACTTTGGAGCTATGGTTCACTATCAGGATATAGGGTCAGACTTGCAACACAAAATCATAGATGCGTACGCGCAGGACCCTGTCTATAGTGACCTCCTCAGGAGAGTTAAGGAGAATCCAGCCAGTGAACCTTACTACTACACCACTAATGAGTTGTTATTTGAGAAGACAGACGTCATAGATCGGCTATGGATTCCCAATAGTGAGGAGATCCGTAGTTTGATCTTAGGGGAGTGCCACGACACAGAAGGGCGCTTCGATTGGCAAAAGACATTGGCCAATCTAACATGTGCCTTCACGTGGCCTGGCATGAAGGTTGACTGCATATATAATGTCCACAGCTGTAAAGTCTGCCAGCGCAACAAAACTACGACGCGAGCCCCATTGGGTCTTCTCAGACCCTTGCCTATCCTGTCAGGACCCAAAGACTCTGTGTCCATTGACTTCATGGATGCTGGGGTCAGGAGTAGGCATTGCAAGAGCCAAGTCATGGTCATTGTAGACCGTTTTAGTAAATATGCAGTTTTCGTTCCGTTGCCCTTTGAGGCACGCACTGAGTTAGTAATAGAGAAGTTTTTTGATGTCTGAGTAAGTGAGCACGGTATTCCACTATCCATAGTCAGTGATAGAGATGCGGTTTACTAGCCAGCACTGGCAGGAGCTTATGAGAGTCTATGGCTCAAAGCTGTTGATGTTGTCTGGCTGTCATCTAGAGACTAACGGTCAGACTGAGCAAATGAATAAGATCCTGCAGCAGATACCCGGGATGTATATTAGACCTGACAGATTAACTAGGATGAGATGCTCCCTGAGGTAGCTAGTGCCTCAGGTAGCTAGTGCCTACAACACTTAGCTACCTGCAGAACTCCTAATGATTTGCTCAAGTCCTTTAGACCATGCAGTCCTTTTGAAGGACTGAATTGTGACCAGATATAGAGACTGCCACCCAAGACTAGAGAGTTTGCGCTGCAGCATGAGAGGGAAATAGCAAGAGTCCCTGAGAATGTGAGGAAAGCGCAGCACAAAATGATAGAACAGGCTAATAAGCTATGAATCCCCCGCGGTCGCGGTCACCGCGGGCACGACCGCGGACTGCGGTTGCGACTGCGAGCCCACTGTCATGACCGCAGTCCGCGGTCAAGAAAAAAAAAAAAAAAAAAAACTTCAGAAAAATCTGAAAAGAATATATGTTATGCCAAAAAATAAACTGAACAACTTTTGCCTTGGGGTCATATCAAAACTCGTTACCAAATTTGAGATAAAAAACAAACAAAATCCTTTATTTTTCTTACTAAAAGAATAAAGTGAAGAATTTTTGCCTGAGGGATTTCTGTTTTTCATTTTTAAAAATCCAAAACGAGGTCAAAAAATCAAACTAAAAATATACGGTTGTAGAGCGCAAAAAAACCTACAACCCCATTGTTTTTTTTTTTTTTTTGGCCTATTATCCTAGGAATTACAAATGTCGGGGTTTTCCGACCACGGCCCTCGCCCGCAGCCGACCT